TGCTTTTTCTGTGTCTAGAAGAGCAACTCCAGTTGAGTGGCCTTCAGATTTGTTTGAACGAATTAAATTGGTAACTCTTAAGAGTTGATGAGTAGTTGAATGCCCATGGCGAAATCCAAACTGCTCATCTGCAAAAATTGAGTTCGTATTGATGTGAAGCATCATTCTATTCAAAATTATCTTTTCAAAAAGTTTACTATGTAGAAAATTCCATCATCACCTGGAGCTTTCATATTTTGAAACTTTTTAGTTATAGACCTTACTTCGTCCAAATCAGTCCCCCAGGAATCATCAAAAATATTTTCTCGAGAGAAAATATTCAGAAAATCCCGAGCAACCTGATTCTCAATAGGACTAGTAAGACCCAAACTGAAATTATGGGAACTCTCAAATTGCTTAGCAAGTTTCTGAGCTTTTTTTCCAAATTTGTGATCAAAATTTTACCACCTTCTTTAAGCGCTGGAATTGGCTTTTGAGGTTTTTTCAAAATTTTTGTGAGTTTCCAAAAGGGTTTGGAACTCGGGTCTAATTTAGAAACATTATTTTCAAAAGTTTTGTTCCTCAGGGCAAGGAATCGTTTTTTAATTTGTTTTTGTAAATCCCGCCAGATAACTTTCATGGCAGGATCACGTGTTCTTTGATATTGTCTCCTACGGACATTTTTAAGAGGGATCAAGAGCTGAAGATCGTCGTCTATTATAATTGAATCGAATTTAACCTCGCATTTTGGTACTGAGGCAGCTCTTGCTGCAACTATAGAAGTAGTCAGAGATTCTAGAGCATAATTAATTTCATCTTTGGTTTGCAAAGGAATGTTTGGATCGAAGTTATAATCCATAAATGTTCCATATTGCTCCCAGCTCTATGGTAATTAAAAATAGAGCTGTTGGGATTACAAATTATTTCTTGGGATATTTCAAAAGTTACTGGAAGGTGATCAGAACCGAAATCAGCATGGGTAACCAATTGGCTACAAAGTTGACATGAATCAGTTAAGACCAAATCAATAGTTGAGGGATTTCTTGCAGATATTTGGATATTGAATAGTGTAATAACCTGCAGAACAATCATCAAACAGAATATTACCATTGGAATTGCTTTGAGCATTATTCCAAGAGCGGTGTTTTGCATTAAAATCACCAATAATGAAGAATTTAGACCTATGACGGGTAAGTTTCTGGAGGTCACCCTTGAGAAAATTCTTTTGCTGGCCTACGCATTGGAATGGCAAATAGGCAGCTATAAACGTAAGTTGTCCAAATTTTGTTTCAACAGAAACTCCCAAAGTTTCAAAAATTTTGGTTTCAAATGAAGAAAAAAAATTATGTTTGATTCGTCTATGAACAATGATGGCAACGCCACCACAGGGTCCATCAAGACGATCATTTCTATAAATTAAATAATTTGAGTCCTTCTTAACCTTATGGTCAGGTTTAAGGAACGTTTCAGTTATAACGGCAATATGCACGTTATGAACTCTCAAAAAGTTAAATAGCTCGTCTTCATTATCTTTAAGAGATTCGGCATTGCAATTTAAAATGTTTAATGCTTTAAAATCCATTACTGAATTTTAAAGTCATGACAATATTATTAGAAAATTTTACTCCAGTTTGAATAGCATCAAACATGAAGTTAGATTTAAGCATATCAGAAATCATGTCAATTAATGATTTCTGTAAAAATTCCATTTTAGGGGCACTAATGCTTCCTAAGTCAAAATTGTCAAAATTTCCGTTGGAACGCTGGTTAGTATTTAGATTTCTACCCGCTGCAATAGCAGCATAGGTAGCTCCATTAACTCGTTGAACATTGTTAGCAGCGAGGGGAGTAGGTACAGATGAAACACTTGAAGCAGGGCTGATATTTGTACCTACGGGTACGAATGTAGAATTTGTTCCTCGCTGACCGTTGTTAACAGCAGAGGAATTTGTACCTGGTCGGAAACGTGGAGCGTTTCCTACCTCTCGTTTAGAACGAGATTGTAGGATCGCTTTGCGAGTCTTACATTCCCAAAAATTGAATTCGTGGTTTTCACCACAATTTGAACATTTAAATTTCTTAGGATCTTCCTTCACAGGACAGTCGTCCTTTGCGTGAGAGGAATCACCACAATTCATGCATTTAGCTGGCATGTAGCAATTTTTAGTTCCGTGACCCCATCCCTGGCACTTACGACACTGGGTAAGGTTTTGGAAATTTCCTCCAGTCTTCCTGAAGTGTTCCCACTTCACTCGGACATGGAGCATAAGGCTAGCTTTTTCTAAGGCCTTAAGGTTGTTTAGTTCACTAGACTTGAAGTGAACTAAATAAAAATCATTAGAAATCCCGTTGCGCGAATCGCCAGGACGGGATTTCATTTTCATTTTGATTACTTGGAGTGGCACAACTCCAAGTAATTTTGCCAGTTCATCTTTGATCTGATCCAGGGATTCACCACTGGGCAGTCCTTTCATGACAACCTTGAACACACGTTCAGTTTTGGTGTCGTAAGTAAAAAAAAATGTGCTTCTTCTCAGTAAGATACTTGAGAAGACATTTAAATCCGTCAAAGGTTTCAGCCAATACACGGCATTCACCCCGACGTCCAATTTGTAGTGAAAACTTAACTTTCACGAAATTCAAAAGTTCCATGCGAAGAGCATGGAAATCGGAAGTGGTTATCACAATAGGGGGAATCTTTTCCTTCTTGGCATTAAGCCGTGAAAGTTTACTAGAATTTTTCTTGGATGATGGATCATTCTCATCATCCGTGAGCAAATCAAATTGATTACTCAAATTAATTTCATCAGAAGGGGGGTCAAGAGTTTGCCCCTTTCTTTTGCGTTTAGGCGCCATGGCGGCAGTAAATTTTTATCCAAATCGACTTCCAAGCAGATTACTATAAGAATCTGAAGGATCGAAGAGGAATTTTCCAAATCGATATCCAAGAAGGATTACCTCGGGTAGGGTCCAAACAAGGATCGAAGAGGAATAAGAGTTGAACAAGGTAGAAAACTTTTACAGGTTGAGCACTGAAAAGTGCTGTTTAAATTTGTTGTAGCTTTAGGTAGCAGTAACACTTCCTTAAGCAAAAAGCAAATAGATCCGCACGGCAAGAGAGCACGATGCGGACTGAAAGTTACTTTAATATCAGCTTTTATTGGTGACCGTTTTGTCTAAGTGACCATTCCTCTTTTGACTGTTTGTTCATATCAACCTTTTAACCTTCGACCTTCGTATCGTAGTCGTAGATCGCTATGTACAGAAAATTTTGAATTCTTGGATCTTGTCTTGAATTTTGATGTTATCCTTATCATCAAAAGAATTCCATTGGTTCAGCATTCCTAAATTTTATTTTAGGCCCAGGAAATTAGTTAAGTGCATTACCTAAAGCCTGTGATATTATATAATTCTTAATCCGAGATCCAACAAACATTTTCTTAATATAAGATCGGGAAATAGCTTTGAGAGGGTTGGTTTATTTCCTTTAAATTCCGTTATAATTGCTTATCTTTTGACAAATACGCGTATATCGGTGTTGAGTACTTGGCACTGATGAAGTCTGCAAGTAGTAGACGAAATACGCGTATCTGTCAAAAGATAAGCAATAATAACGGAATTTAAAGGAAATAAACCAACCCACTCAAAGCTCTTCATAAAGGGATTCCGTTAAGAGGTTCGACAAATTTAAAGGATTGATCGGGAAATAGTTTTGGAAAATTTCGGACCTGTGACACGCCAATGAATATAAAATTGAAATCGTGTACATTTCCGAATCCACAAAAAGCGCTGGGTGGAGCAAATTAAGGAAATCACATTTAGCCGAAGAGGGTTACCCCAAAATACGAATTATGTATACACATGTTCACGTGATCTGCGGTCACGTATTCCATTTCGATGCATAACAACAGAAAGAAAAAAAAATCCACCGCATATGCCGGCATATTAAATATACAGTGATCGTTTACCGGAAAGCCTGCGAAAATCAAAATGCAAACACACGCACGCACATACCATTAAAACGCAATCTCGAATTCTGGCAATTGTTGCACGATAAATTGACGATTCCCCCAGACTGTTCCTGGGCAACACGTGCATGCATTTAATTTTTTTAATACAGTGGATTATAATAACATTAAAACCAAAAAAAATCGGCTTTCCCGAAATCTTCACCATTTGAAAGAGGAGATTTTGAAACTAAATGAAATCCAAACCTCTCAACTCGCACGTGAGTGAGAAAATTGAAAAAACCGCCGTACTCACATTGAACTGAACAAGCCGCGCCAGGAAGTGTGACTTTCAGCCAATAGAGTTCTGTTGATTGCCTACACGTCATTAGCCAAATATTCCGTGCACCTAGTATACATAATTGGTAAGTTGCCCGTGTACTAAATCAGATTTGTGGCTTCAAATCCCACTGGTTGCTGTAGATTTTTCAAAAAATTTCACACACACGTGTCCAACCGATCATCTGAGCTTCCCAGTATCTTCTAATTTTACATGGTAAAATCTAGATTTTGACTTGAATATACTATTCAGGCCAATTGAACAGCTTTTCCAATTCGTTTTAATCATTAAAAGCGATACGTACCAAACCAAAGGTCCAATTCTCAGTCTGGTCGAGGAAATTTTCGCGTTGGAAAATTTCGCGACATCCTTGGGCGTTGTTGGTAGGCAAACAATCATACGCAATCATAATTTAAAACTCAAGGCTTCTCAAAAAGCGCGCAGTAATTTACTCTTAACAAGCAGCCTTCCGGCACCAAAAATATGTGACTAGTGTGCAATGCCACATGCTGTTACATTCCGCCGAACGCAGCACGGCAAATGAAATATGCGGCATAAAATACTATATACCTCTGCTCCAAGGAAGAGACTTAAAATTACATTTACCCGTTGTCCCCGGAAAAGTTCAAGATCATCCCAGCAAATTTTAAACCTGCCAGACACGTATATAAAATATTTACCCGCCTTTGTAACCATCTGCTCTATTCTCTTTCTGACTTCCCCCTCTCCTACAGCAACAAGAAAAACGACGCGAGCTGCGGTTGAAAAAGTTCTGGCGTACCACCACCAAGCCACCCACATCGTCAGAGGACTCCGGCGGCTGCGAAAGTCCTACAAAACTCGGACGAAAGGCCTTCCAGCAGCAAACAAATAGCATCAACAGTCCACCTAGGAATCCGCCAACATGCTCGCTGCCGCTGCTGCAGGTTTGGCCCAGTCAGGATTCGCCCCGGGGAGAAGCCGATGGGCAGAGTTTCGTTTTCCCACTGGCAGTCGATGACCAGGGCGCTGCCTGCGTTGGCAGACTGCTTCAAACTTCGCTGCAGCATGCTGTGGCCTCCAGCAGCAGTAGCAGTGGCGATTTGCGACGGAATTCCCTCTTCGTTGACCAACTGCAAGCAGGAGACTCCGGAATCGACTCCGTTCAAGCATCCCCGTCTCCGATTGCCATGCCCTGTCATCCCCTGGTAGTGTCCAATGCAATATCACCAAGTGCATCGCCCACGGCGGGGTCACCAACGCCGTCGATGGATCGCAACCGGCGTCCGTCGACGTCACTGCTACATCCGGATCACGCGAGGATACTAGCCTTGCGCCAGCTGACGTCACCCGACCAAGTGAGACCTCGACAGTTTGTTGAACATGATTTCGGAAATCGATTCCATTCTTTTCCCATTACAGTCATCCCTAGAAGACAATACGGAATTCAATGGCGTTGCAGGGAATCACCTCTGCACGGCAAGTTCCAGCACGACCTCATCCCTGACGTCGGTGGCAGTCGTGACCCTTGGACAGAATCCCCAAAGGTAATTCTTACCACAAATGAAAACCAATTCTAACCCACAATTCGCAATCCCCCGTAGATCCTCAGACCCTTGGCTTCGCCCGGAGCGAGATAAAGACCACCTTGAACTAGATCAACGGCGGGCATCGACGGTGACCGCTCGCCTATCGCTGTTTGACGCCCTGGATCTGGAGTACGCTTTGCTTCGAGCCGCAGCCCGTGGTTCGGTGGGACCTTACTCGCTCAGCGAGTCGCTGCACAAGCTCACCTTTACCCAGTCGCTTGCCTTCCCGGCACTCGCCCGCGGCCTAGCCGCAAAACGGCGTACCTCAACCGAGGAAAGCTCGTCTCGACCGCTCAATCCGAACGAGTCCGGCCTGAACACGTTCGCCAAAGTGGTCACCGCCTGTGTTCTAGTGATGGTTAGCTTTCTGGTGTTTCTAGTGGTGTACAAGTACGTACGGACGTGAGGTTTGCTCCTGGCCCCGACCGAAGTCACGATACAGGCGACTACCGCATCGGCGACGATCGCCTCCTATCACCACGTGGCCAACAGGACCCTAGCGTCGGGCGTCAGGAAGCTCTTTAACCTCGAAAACTAGTGTTTGTGAAAGTGTACACCGCGAAGACGATGAACCGAAACAAGTGAACACGTTCTTTCTTATGACGTAGCGTATAACGAATCGAAGAAAACAAGAGAAGAAACCCAAGTCAATCGTGCAAGTCGGAAATGAAATCTGCATCATTTTAATCCCAATAGCACCATCGCAACCAACAACGTTTCGGAAATGATTTTAGAGATGCGTCGAATGTGTACGACTGCACCATGATTGAGTTGCTGATGAAATGCCCAACATTTCCCAGGACTTAATATCTTCCGACAATTCAATCACCGATAGGAAACATTGTTCTCTAGAAAAAGCATGGAATCCAGAAACCTCTGACATTTTTAACAGTAAAGTAGATTTTTTCAAATACTTTTATCCCAATTTTCAAAATTTCCATGAAATATTCTTCACATTCTAGGAGACCTTTGGTAGAACGTTAGTTTATAGAAAAAGAATCTTGGTTATGTCAATAAGAGATATATTTGAAAATTTGAAAACAGTTTGCATCAAGCAGTAGTTTGAAAAAAAAATCGATTTCAAAATTAGGTTGCTCAAAAATTTATTTTCCCGTGAATTTGTTGACGAATGTGATCGATCAGTGAGTTTTTTCATAGCAATGAAAATGGGAATTTGTGGCTCAGCAATATGCATTATGGTTTACCTATATCAGAGGGAAGATAGAATATCTAGTCTGCAACTATGTTAATTTCCAGAATTTTCAAAATTATTGTTAATTCATGAATTTTGACAAATGCTCCAATGAATTTAGATAATGTTTTGAAGTTTGAGATCACGAAAGTTTCCCAAACTCTCGGAGAGATTTTCTATTATACAGTATCATGAAAATAATTCAAAGATTGAGCGGAATTGACTCAAGTAACGTTTTCTGTACATATAAACGCATTTTTATTTTCATTTGTACAGCCTCGAGCTGAGTTTCAAACACTTCAAGGACATATGGGAACTATTTTTGCTCCCATTCATAGGACAGTTCTTATTCCAGCGTTGACGCTTTTACTCAGCCGTTATTCAGCTGTTAAGCTGAATGTGAAATAGCGCATTTTTAACATTTTCCGATCTATCAAAAATTCTCTTTACATCTATGCCGCAATCTGTAAGAAACAAACCAGCCAAAGGTTAAACATATTTCTGAAAAAGAACAAAGATAATGGCTCAATCAAATGAGCAATGTCATCATGAAATGAGTAATTTACTCTCTTTAACATCTTTGAATTTTGGAGGCGAACCAGCCCAAGGCTGAAAGCCTCCTTAATAAAGCTAAATAATAATAATAATCTTTGAATCGCAGCTATAGGTTGTAAGTTGAAGGGTAACATGCCTATAGATGTGGTATAAGCATTAATTAGCTGCTGTTGACAGACAAGCTGAATAACGTATAAACCCGTTAGCTACTCACATACATTTTCTAACTTCTGCCTGTAACTGAATTCACAGCATTAATTCAGCTCCTTTATAGCAAGAAATTACCTAACGTTAACAACAAACATAGCTTGAAAAGTATAAGAATGAAACTACAATGTGTAGAATCAGACACATTGTAGTTTCATTCTCATACCTGTGATCTTGACATTCTTACCTAGGGGATAAGTACTTAAGGGGGCTAGATCACCGACAAACCGACATAACAGTTAATTCTTACTTATGCCCGAAAATCGTAAACGGTTGATTTAAATGTGCAGTGATCCGAGCTGTCAAAACCATAGGATTTATTGATCTAGATAAAAATAATTTGTCCATAATAGATCAGACAGGAACCAACTCATAACTTTTGCAGGCGGGTTCATGGCTTAGCTAAATATTTCCCGCTAAGAGGAAGAGGTGACAATTGGCTTCTTCCTCTTTTATTTCTATTTCTATCTCTATCTTTATCTATATCTATCTCTATCTTACGGACATGAAATCGGCCAATCAGGAGCTGGTTCACGTTTGACAGAAAAGTGGTTCATTTTCGCCCCCGTATTGTCACCTCTTCTCTTAGGTTTGACAGAAAAGTGGTTCATTTTCGCCCCGGTATTGTCACCTCTTCTCTTAGGTTTGACAGAAAAGTGGTTCATTTTCACCCCCGTATAGTCACCTCTTCTCTTAGATTTCCCGCGAACACTGAGCCAGATGTAAGTAGTGTGCTTTGGTCAGACATTTTATTGTTTTTGCTATGGTCATTCATGTCGGTTTGTCGGTGGTTAGATTTTGATAATCCTTTAGTGGGAATGACACTGATGAATACTGCACATTGTAGTCGAAATACGTATCTGTTATAGATACCAAAATTAATTAAGTGGAATTAAATGGAACATAACCTTTTTTTGCTGTTTTATTTAAGCATTCTGCTAACAACCCAATTTAATTACTTCATCTGAATCTTCCAAAAGTTCCAAAGGAATTCTTGGGGGCTTTAAATTTTTCAAATGGTTTCTGACTAAAATTCGAAAAGCGTCCTGAAAAAAAAATCAAAGTGATATCTGATGATAAGAAATCAAAGGAAATCTGGATCAGAGGGTAGTTCCAAAGAAATTTCAAGAAGAATTTCCATTCTGATTAATGTTTTAAAAGAATTACTCAGATAATTCCATGGAAACTATAGTACAACGATTAGGGAATGCTGAATAAAATTCATTGGATTTGTGAAGCATTTCAATCAATATCTGACAGCATTCCAAATAAATTTTGTGGTGGATTCCTAGTGAAAATAAGCAAAGAATACTTAGGGAATGCTGAGGAGAGTTCGTAGGGATTTTACAGGAGAGGTGAATACCAAGATATTTCTGAGCTGAATTTAATGGTTAATCTGAAGGGTACAAGGAATCAAAAATATCACCAAATGACAAAATAACAAGCGATCAACGAACCGAATAATAACGCTATGTCAGAAGTAAAAAGCAATAATGACAAAAACTTCTTCATTTTTTTTTCATGACAAGCAGACCGTGCGACCGGGCTCACTCGGGGTGGTAGAAGGAAACGAGCAAATTGTTGGCAAGCTACTTCACGAAGTAAAACCGAAGATGATACACGTGTGTTAATGGGAATTTTCTTGTTTGGTCTTTTCTCAATTCAAATCAAGCTATGTCCTCATCCGTGTATATTGCAACAAAGCAGGCAAGCAATATTTCATTATCCTTCTACCACTCTGATCGAGCTATGTTACAGAGCGAGTTTGTCATGGTAGTCGTAGCAACCGTTTTGTCTGTATCGTTGGTTGCTTTATGTATTTGGATACACTGGAAGGGTATGATGTTTATTAATTTATTTGACAAGGCTGAATCAAGTTAACGTTACATGGCCGAGGATTTTTATTCACTATACAATACATCTTAAAACTGTAGTCAAAAGTTATAACACAATAAATATTTTATCTTCCGCTATCCAATAAGCCTCCTCCATCAGAACGGAAGCCGCTTCCAGTGGTTTCATTGTATGGCAGTATAGCCAATGGGGGGGGGGGGGGGGGCAAAGCGCTTCCATTACAGCAATGGATGCAAATCGTGATCCGCATTCACACACTCATCACGAAACGGTTACTTTCCAAAATCGACGAAGCATCGACCGAAAGAACTGCTGATGAAGAACAGTGAGGAGGACCACACAATATAGATTGCTAAAGTATGATTGTGTCAGGGATTTCCTGAGACTCTGCTTATAGAACTCAATAGCCTAGTTTTTCAAAGACATAAACGCTTTGCTGAATTGATTTATACAGAATCAAGTTGAGTTTAAACGCATTACGATATGAAGCCAATTTTTCTCAACCTCTATTTAAGAAATCTGGTGATCTTAATCAACTACTACAAGCCCTTATTCGTTAACACTTCAAATACAGCCACCATTCTTCTGTCGCTTTACTTATCTTTGCTCTGAATCAAAATAAAACACAAAATTAGGCTTCCAGAAACACGATTTTCATATGCTCGTTGGGTTAATACAGAGCTAAATAAGAGCTTATTCAGGCAAAAGTATGCTTATGCTGCTAAAAAATAGCTTGTTCAGGTTTTAAAAATCGATAATTTCAAATTAATAATGAAGCCCGTTAATATGAACAGAATGTCGTTCAGATTCACGGGAGTCCATGGTAGTCACTTTAACCCTTTTAAAGTCATTCTTGACTTGCAATGGGGATGAGATTCAAACTCATAACCTTTAGCGTGAGATTCATAAATGCATTAATGCCGGCCCCATTCCCCTTCAAAATTAGAAACAGATATTAGTATTGCATCGATTATTTCTAAAAACTTGCATAAGCCCAAAGAATTTAAATTTTTCTGAGCAAAGAATTTGTAATTAAACCCAGTTCAGAACTTTTTAAACGTTTTTCGACCTCGAAATCCTTTCAAATCCTGCTAGCCCAACAGTATTAGAAATGGTCATGCTTGATTAAACTTCAAGTCTTACAAAGCTTTGCAAAAATTTCCAAAACTTTCAAGTCCTTTTTTAACTAGTTTGTTTATTTGGAAGGCTCAATCGCATTAGCTTCGCGGATCCGATAATTCATTGTTCATTGTTTGTAAAAAAAAATCACTTATTTCTATATCCATTAGGAGTTAGGCCAAATACTCGCGGCTTACCCGAGGTTCGAGGGGTACATTTTCCAAGGATAGGATCAGATGAGAAGCTTGGGGTGGGGTTTCGTTATCTCATCAGAGTGTTGTCGCCAAACTTATAAGTCCTAAGCTAAGGTTCAAACATTCAAACTAACATAATGGATTGAATATTTTTCACTGCCGGGCGGTGAGACTGGCTTAAAATTGAGTCGAGTCGATTCAATTTCGCCAAAAGAGGATTTACTCAAAAGTGAGTTGAATTTTCCGAGCTTTTCTAGGAAAAAAACTGCTTGAATATGAGGAAAATCCATGAAATGTATACTCAGTGAGGAACATCTAAAATTTTGTCAATTTTCTTTATTTTCCAGCAGATTTCTGAGGTTTTCCACTGGAAACCATGAGGCAAATTTACTCATCGCGATTATAACTGAACTAAACTCAAATTTGGGTCGTTATCATTCGCCGTGTACTAATATAACGAGTGAAACCCCCATTGATTTTCCTCATATTGGAGAAATTTTCAAAGGGAAAGCCCGAAAAATTCAACTCACTTTTAAGTAAATCCATATTTGACAAAATTGAGTCGACTCGACTAAATTTTAAGCCAGTCTCACCGTCCGTGCAGGGAACAATATTCAATACATTATGTTAGTTTGAATGTTAGAATTTTACTCAAATTAATGAACTTTCATCTTAGCTTAGGACTTGAATCGGACTCATATTTGATTCTCGTTCACTTAAATTCGCAAAAGCGTAGGTCACTCATAGAACGTAGGTTACTCAAATATGAGGAAATATCACTCATATTTGAGTTGACAT